TACATTCAACAGAAGAAGTCAATTGTGAAAACTCAACGTGCTTTTAAAACATTAAAAAATGTGAGAAGTGCGCCTTCTAAGAACACCATTAAGCGTTTATACGAAAAATTTTCGACTGGTAAGGCTCTTTCTAATCCGAAGAGGTCATATAAAAGTCGACCAAGGCGATCGGCCGAGAATATCGCTGCCGTACGAGCCAGTGTTGAGAGGTCCCCAAGAACATCCCAAAAACGCCGTTCTCAGCAGTTGGGCATGGCTCGGTCCACTTTACAACGGATTATTCGCATTGATTTGCATTTGTTCCCGTACAAAATTCAATTGACTCAAAGAATGTTGCCTGCGGACAAGCCTCGTCGATTGGAATGGGCCCAAAGAGTCATGGGTCCGTCGAATATGGGCAACCCTGTATATATAAAAAAAAATATTGGATAAATGTGATTAGGATATCAAAATAACGAATGTCGGTGGGTACGTTATATGTGGGCTATAGGAGACCATAGACCTAGGTATTCCATGTTCTACCACCGGAGAAACCATTAAGAACCACAAATGCCAATTTTTGGACAAATCCGTAAAAGGTGATTATAACCATAAAAATACAGTATATCGAGAGGTACCGTTATATGGGGGCTATACGAAAACGTGAACCTATACATATATATACAATGTTCGGCCACAGGAGATAGAACTCATTATTACCTACAAATACCGATTTTTAGAAAAATTCGTGAAAAGATGTGGCGAAATTCATCAAAATACCGAATATTGGGAGGTACGGTTACATGGCAGCTATACCATATACTTGGACCTAATACCTCATTCTCAATACCAACCATTCTACATACAATACAAATTGTTGTGCCATATTTTGAAGCTCTACGTTAAATAATGTGGGCTGTATCGTGATTTCAACAGAAAGTCGGACATCGTTAGAATTATATGCCGATAATGAATAAATAATATATATTTTATTTAGGGATGCTACATACGAAATTACAAAGTTAATATACCCTTTTCAAAGTGGAGGGTATAAAAATTCTATTGAATTTATCTTTAAGTTTTTCCACCTTGTTGTTTGCAGTAGTTTTTAGATTCGTTCACAAAAATGTTAGCCTGATAGCCACAAGTTTGATCTACTCAACAATAGTATTCCGTATTGGAATTAACGTTTGATTTGTATTTTTCCCATTTTCAATACAAACGATTTTCCATTCCTATTTGAACTGTGTATAAGAATTGGGTAATAAAAAGACTTGGTTTACTTTGACTTGGTTTTATGTATTTAATATTGTGTAAAACGGTTTCGCATAACCCTTCCAATAAATTTATAGTTTTGAAAATCCTATTACTGTATGTCATTGCAATCGTCTGTCAATTTCCAATTGTTTATTCAATTACCATTCAATAAAACCATTGTCAAATAGGTTTTATAGTTAAAAGCTATAAATGCTTGTCTATGGTCTCAATGAGTTGACTTCCTTCTAAATTGTTGGCATTGTTTAAATATTTGTCTTTTTAATTAAGTTAATTCATTTGCATTAGCTAAAGCAAACAGGAAGCAGACAAGGAGGATACAACTTGCATAAATGCGTGTATGTTGTATAAAAACAAATATGAAAGGATTGAAAGCGGTTATTGAGCAAAGAATGTAAGGTAAAGTAATGCTGGTTATTGTAATGAACAATGTAGAAAATCAATACAGAAGATAATGAGAAAAAATGCATGAAATTAGCAATATGAAAGCCCCAGGAATGTGATATTCATATATATCCTGTTTTGGTTTGTAAAAAAAAAACTATATATACCCTAGAACACTATGTGCTGGGGGACTTATAAGTTTTATTTGGCCAAAAATTATGTAGCACCTCGAAATGTTGGTTTCCCACATAGGAAAGTATATATGGATCTTCCTATCTCGTCGAGTTGAGTCGATCTAGCTTTGTATGTCCGTCCGTCCCTCTGTCCGTCTGTCCATGTTTATTTGTCATCACTCTATAGGTAGCAATTATGACCCGATCTTCACGAAATATAATATGGAGGTGGGACTTGGGCCAGAATAGAAGCATATTTCTTTTGGAGATGAACGCATAATATTTAGGATTTGAAATGGACCAAAAACTGAAAAAATCCAGATTTTGCTGTTGCTCTGCAGGTCACAATTATAAACCAATCAAAGCGGAAGTTAGCATGGGGCTAGAGCTTAGGGTAGGGCAGAAGCATTCCAATTTTGATGGACATCGGGTTACATTTATTGGGTGAAATAGACCATAACATTTGGGTTAAATAAAATTCAAATTTTCCATTAAATCACGAATATTTTTAATACAGGCGGAATCACAAATAGACGAACAGGTCAATTATGACCGTTACGTAGATGCCGATATTAAATATATCGGAAATATTTAGCGAAATATATGCGTTGTTTATATACAAAGTAAGGGGATGTTAGCTGAAATGCTTATATCTCAAGAATAACTGAACCGATTTTGACAAATTTTGTCAATTCAGAATGCCCTCTTGGCATAAAAGTATAAAAACTAAAAAAAAATCGCATAAAATAATGCCAATAATGATGTTAATATAGATTTTGCAGTATTTTGTGACATTTTTATACCCTCCACCATAGTATGGAGGGTATATTAAGTTTGTCATTCCTTTTGTAACACCTCGAAATATACATTTTAGACCCCACAAAGTATATATATTCTTGATCAGCATAAGATTCTATTTCGATTTATCAATATCCGTCCGTCTGTCCGTCTGTGGAAATCACTCTAGCTTCCGAACGAAATGAAGTAGGTTGATAAAATTTTACTCAAATGTGTATTATGTCTGCAGGACTTTTGGTATTGAAAATGGGCCATGAGGGTCCACGTCTTCGTATAGCCCCCATATTACGGTACCCCCGATATTCAGTATTTTGATGATTTTTGCGATATTATTTACCGGAATTATTTCAATTTTGGTATTTAAAGTTCGTAATGGATACTACATCCTAAGACAGAAAATGAGTCATGTAGGTCCACGTCTTCGTATAGCCCTCATATAACGGAACCTCCCGATATTGGGTATTTTAATGATTTTAGAGACATTTTTTACCGGAACTATTTTAAATTTAGTATTTGAAGTTCGTAACGGATACTACAGTCTATGACAGAAAATTGTCTGTGCAGGTCCACGTTTACGTATAGCCCCCATATAACGGTACCCCCCGATATTCGGTATTTTGATGATTTTAGCGACATTATTTACCGGAATTATTTCAAATTTTGTATTTTAAGTTCGTAATAGATACTAAAGCCTATGACAGAAAATTGTCTGTGCAGGTCCACGTTTTATAACCCCCATGGTACCTCCATATATTCGGTATTTTGATGTTTTTAGCTACTTATAAACAGATTTTTTCAAGTTTCGCATTTGAATATTGTAATGGATTGTGACAAAAGCTGCCTATGCAGGTCCACGTCGTCGTATAGACTCTAATATACAGCTACATTCGGTATTTTTTAAGATTTTAACAGAATTTTTAACGGATTTTATTATTATTTTTTTTAATTGTTAAATTTGTACCAAATGGTGGAGGGTATTCAAAGTTCGGCCCTGCCGAACTTACAGCTTTTTTACTTGTTTATTTTTCATATTTTTGATCGCATGCGATTTTTTTAATTTGACTTATTATATTGAAGTGTACATTTTGCAATATTTTTTCACCTGACAACACAGGTTGGGATTATTGTAATTATTGTATTATTGCAATTATCGTCCGATCCTCACGAAAACTTTCACAAGGGTAGGGTTAGCCTCAGAAAGGCTATGATTATTGTTTTAAAAGATGACCACAATATATTTAGAGGTTGAAATGGACCAACAACCAAAATTTTTTCTGATTTTGCAGCCGTTATAAAGGTCACAAATAGGAACCAAAGAACACGAAATTTCGAATGAAGTAAGAGTTTAGGACAGCAGGTAAAATGTTTTATTACTTTTGTGTGAAAAAATACCAATATTACTTACATGCAATATCCGAAATACACAAAAGACGAACTTCTGGCTTTTTTATGCTGATTTCGTTGACGAATATAGCCAAATATCGTAGACAAGCAAATCATACAAATGGGTCTAAATTTGGAGATACAGAGGGGCCTCTTGCATTTGGAGATGATTGCAAAATATTAAGGGATTCAAATGAAGCAAAAATAGAAAACATTTCCTGATCACACAATTGAAACCAATCGGCACTGGATTTTGCATTAAAAGTGAATTAAGGACAGGGATGAATTCTAGGATTTTGGATGACCATTGGATTATATTTAGCTGTAAAATGGACCACAACAACTAGCGGCACGACGGAGTGCGTAAATATTGGGCAAATGTCCCCGGTCAAAATGCTAAGGGTAATATCTGGGCAGTACTTCGTAACATAATTTCAAAAGCGAAATCTTAAATATTGTAGTGTTGTAGGGTATCACATGGTCGGCCCCGCTCGACTATAGCATTTGTTTACTTGTTTTATTATATTAATGAAGTGTGTAAGGTAATTGACTGACAGACTCATTACAGCCCAAAGCGAGGCCGTTGAAACTAAAATCTTGAATATTTGCCTTTAGAATCGTAGTGGTGTAAAATAAAAAGGTTTAATGAAAACTACTTCTGCACAGTTACTGTGCCACCGGAAAGAAGCAGATTTTAGAAATTGAACAGCTGTTCCATGGTTTATGCAGGGGAGCACGAAAAATACCAAAAGTTATTTAGAGAGCCGAAAGAGCGAATACTTTGAAATTTTCATAGTTTTTGCCGAACTTTGCATTCTATGGACAGGATGTACAAAATATACAATATAGTACGGCCATAACAAAAATGCACAATATGGGAATGCACTCTTTTGAAGGTCAGTAAGGGCAAAAATATTCACTTTTTTTAGGAGGGTGAAACGACACGAAAAGTTATTTTCCAAAATGTATACACTTAAAAATATTAAAACTCAGATTTTGGGTAAGAAAACAAAATAAACATTTCTGTATTTATTTAATTTCACAACTACATAAGGCGGCGGCATTGTGGTTTCTTAAAATCTACTTTACAATTTAACATTTATTCATTTCTGATTTTTATACAACAAATTAGGCATTTTTCTCCGTATTCTTTTCGGCATTATTCATTTCTTTGCGTTTCTTATAACGCATTTTCAAATTGGTTATTAAACGTACCGTACAGAAATAGATGATCTCTACGATACTAAGGGTCGATACACCCATAAATAGACCCAACAGACCACCACAATTGGCAAGGAAATCTGTGGTACCGTACAACTCAGAACGTTTAGAGGTAAGGAACTGGGCTTCTTTGAAGAATATCGAGAGGCGGGTTCTTCTGGTCCTTTAATGGAATAACAAAGAATTACAAATTTTATTCTTAAAAGGAATTAATTCAAATATCTTCAACTCACTCTTGACTGCCCTCTTCTGCTTCCGTTGAGTTCCCCCGTTTACCCGAATGCACATATTCATAATCTGCCTGCGAAATCTCTGCCTCGTATGCAATGGAAGTACACGAGGGCAAACAATTGCATGTTGTCTTGCCACGGAAATTTTCTCCAGAACTAGCTATACCCTGATCGAATTCTCTCAGGGTCAATTCATCTTCGGCTTTGTTAAAGCAATGCACATTTCTGGCATTACACACGGGAACATCTTCATGTCCTTTTGGAAAAGGTAAAATGAATAAATTAAAAAAAATAATAAAGAATTTTGTTTTTGTCTACAAGCTTACTTGGCATTGAGAATTTTACACAACCACATTTGGCCAATGTAAAATTAGCTAAACATTCCTGTTCACAATTACTTTGGGTGTAGATTTGAAAATAACGCAAATCCCGTTCATTTTGGAAATAACATTGGCGTCTGTAAAACAAAAATAGAAAATTAATTATAGAAATAAATATATATGTATGGAAGAGTATGACAATTAAGGAAACGTAGGTTGATATACGGTTGATCATTTCGATTTTCTATTCTTCCATCTATCTTTTTTCTCTTTTTGCCTATATTAGCCAACTCGATGGAAAAATTGGGTATCTAAAAGATATATCAAAAGAAAGACGGATTTTTTCATCCACTCCCCTTTATACTTATAATCTCCATCACCATTATAATTATTTAGTTAGTATGAAATAAATAAATGAAAAATTTGCCAATACTTAGAAAATACTTGAAATCGAAGCTATCCTTTCCAAAAAGTGGACCTATATGATCCATTTTCTGTACCAATGACTCCAGATGTAATCGAAGGTCTCTGTAAAATTTCAAATGATACGAAATATGTCTTAAACTATAGAATTACCCTTGTATATTGTCAAAACTAAATGAGAGCCTAAACAACATTTGACCTAAGAACCCAAAACTCCTTCGGGGGTTTGATCTACAAATGTGAACTATCAAGTCCATAAAACTTTTCCCAAAAAAAATGTTGTTGTTGTGTATAGAAATTATAAGTACATTTGCAGTGAATTGGGAAAATGTGCTATTATAAATAGATGTATGATGTATTCTGATAGTTATAGTGAAATTTTATTTATAATATTTCTTCTTTTCAAAGTTTTTTGCAAAAAACGAAATTTTATGTTACTTTCAGGCGTCAACTCGAAAAAAGTCCGAAGAAATATTTATCAAAAAAAAATAGGGACTATTGTTTCCTTGTTTTTTGAAACATTGACGCACATTTTTTTATACAATGAAAAGAGAGATTTCTTTTCTTGAGTAACTCATAGTTAAATTTGATGAATAATGTTTTTGTCTTTGACGTAATTCTTCTAATATAATGTTCTGTAGGAGATGTCTGCGTAAACTCACCTAAAGAACGGTTTGAACTCTAAAATAATTATACCCTCAGCCATATGGCTACAGAGGGTATATAACGGTTTAGGCAATATCGGTCCACTCCTTTTGGTACCTCCCCCACAAAATTCGAAAATTTCAAAACAGTATATTACTGCACAGAAAGAGAAAGAATAATCCGATTTTGCCCCAACTTTGTAAATCTTTATGTTTGCATCAGTGCTAGGTCTGTGCAGAAATGGACAATATGGGTTCACTCCACCAAGTACCTTCCCCATAAAGGGTCAACATAGTGAATAATTAATTATGATTATAAATATATTATAATTAAAACTCTTATAAAATGTGTTGTAATGTCCGATTGTTTTCAAACTACACATATTACAATATTTTTATTAACCAGGTCTGGTGTGAAGGTGGAATATATCGCTCCACTCCTTCTGGTACTTCCCTCACAAAGAGGCAGTTTTGAATAACCAGAACGATTATAAAACAAGAAATAAGCATCCGGTTCTCTTAATATTTCACACATCCCATTACTTCTACTAACACAAGATCAACTGTGAAGATGCGGTATGTCGGTTCACTCATTCTGGTATCTCTTCCACAAAGGGTGAAATTTTCATTCTTTACAACTTTAAATATTTCTCTTATATGAATATGGAATTTATGATTTGCACAAAGTTGGATATAAACGTTCGATTTTCTTGTAATTTTCGCATACCAATATTTTTATCCGTATTAGATGAAGTATGAAAGTGAAATACTTCGGTCGACTACATCTGGTAACTCACACACATTTTACATTTTCTAAAAATTATCACATATCTCATACAAAGTGAAGTAAGTAACCAATATAAACTGGACTGGCATGTCGAAATATTAATATCAAAATTATTTAAAACTAATTTATAATCAAAATAGAAGTCAAAATATATTTATATAATCGGACGTTGGCTGAGGGTATATATCTTACTTTTTAATTATTTGTATACCCTACACCACAAGGTGGTCAGGGTATTATCTTTGTGCATTTGTTTGTAACAGACAAAAGGAAACGAGATAGACCCATAGTTCCTTTTGATGATCTGCATAGAATCACATTCTGAGTCGATTTATGCATGTCAGTCCGTCCATCAGTCTGTCCATGTATTTTTATGAACAAAATGCAGGTCGCATTTTTTATCCGATTGAGATGAAATTTTCCAAACAATATTTGTTTGTCCAAAGTACAAACCTTATTGAAATTGGTGAGAATCGGTTCAAATTTAGTTAGGGCTCCCATACATATTTTCAACCGATTTCGGCTTAATTGTGCACCAAATAGCCCAATGCCCCAGCCCCAATGACCTGAATTTTGGTACATCCGAAAAATTACAGTCTAGAAGCAAGTACTTAAAATTTGGTGAAAATCGGTTCAAAAATACCTTTATCTCCCAATATGTATGTTCAATCCGAATTGGATTAAAATCCCTCACATGCATAATATGCCCTCCACAACAATGATCTTTGATACCAGATATCATATACAGCTCTGAAAAAGTACCTAAAGTTTTGTCAAGATCGGTTCACACATATGTTTATTCGATTTCAGGTTTATAGTGCACCAATTGGCTAATGTCAGCCCAAATGAAAGGAATTTTGGCACTTCTGACGGAATTCAGTCGAGAAGCAAGTACTTCAAATTTTTGTAAAAATCGGTTCAGATATAGCTACATGTCCTTGTATATGTTTCATCCGATTTGGAGTTAAAGTACCGCACATGCGTAATATGCACTCCACAACAATGATATTTAATATCGGACATTAGATACAACTGGAAAATACCTCTGCCAAATTTTATAGAGATTGGTTCAGTTTTTTATGTACCATCGATATACATCTTCATCGGATATTACGGTTATTGCTCACCATATACAGGGTGTGATAAAAAAAACACTGCAACAAAGTCAAACGCCTTAATTTTACTTTTTTTTAATTTTATGGAATGAAAGCAAAAAATGTCGGAAATAGCATTAAATTTTAGAATATGTTTAGATTTGTTCGCATTGGTCACCTTTGGCACGAATTATGGCCTTCAAACGGCCAATGAAATCATCACACGCTGCCAGAATGTTGCTCTGCGGTATTTTGGCCCGTTCCCGGCGAAGCGCTTGCTTGAGGTTATCGACACTTTGGTATTTTTTAGTGCCAACCTTGCTTTACAAAATACTCCAGACAAAATAGTCCAACGGATTGGTATCCGGAGTTTTTGTGGCCATTGCGGGCTGGAAATGAAGCGAGGAACCTCATTTTGCATCCATTCTTGGGTGGAGCGTGTAGAGAGGGATGGTCCTGGGTCCTGTTGGAATGTCCAAGGTCTGCGGCCAAACTGTTTGCGTGCCCAAGACATTAATACAGCCTCCAGAATATTTTCGCTTTAATATTCGGCATTTATTTTGATGCCACGGTCGATTAATACGAGCGGATAGCGAACATCGTCTGTTATGGCAGCCCACACCATCACCATGGCCGGGGCTTGAGTTCTGGTGGTCAACCGAAGGTGAACATTCTCAGCTGACCTCTTTGGTAAGTAACCACGATCATGTTTTCTCATCGGAGACAACGAATGTTTTCTCATCGGAGAAAACCAAATTCGGCAGTTGGTCACTTTCGGCCAAGCGAAGCAAATCTTTAGTTCTTTTGACTCTATTTTCTTTCTGTTGCGGTGTAAGTTCTTGCACTGTTCGGAATTTCAATGGATTTACCCGAGCTCATTTTTCAATATTTGCCGAATGGAATATTGCGATATGTTCAGCTCAAGAGCCATTTTTCGGTCACTGCGACGCGGGTTTTGATCAAGTCGCTTCTTTATTTTTCGAACCACTTCTGCTGATGTTGCTGTTTTCTTCCGTCCAATTCCTTGACGTCGGGCTAGGCTACCAGTATCATGGTGACGAACGATGGTACGAGACACAAAAGATTTATTCACATTCAAATGCTGGAGTGCTCTAACGATAGCCACTTGTGGCTTTCCAGCCATATATAAGGAAGTTACACTATCACGCTTGAATTCTATCACGAATAACTTTTTTTTTTGGAAAATTCTCAACAAAATGCTTTTTTATGTTTGTAAACAATATAATGAGTTGTCACTGGAAAATGAAATGATAGCAGTCTGAAGTTGGTTGCCGTTTTTTCATCCCACCCTGTATATACTTTGTTAGATCTAAATTTATTATTTCGATTAGTTACAGACCAAATGACGAACCTAGTATACCCTCCATGCTATGTATTGTGGGGGGTATAAAAAAGCAACAAGCAAGTATGGACAAGAAATTAGATTTGGAAAATATCGAATTAATGGCATGAAAGTTGGGAAGGTCTTCCTGATTCGGAATCATTATTTCCTGTACCTTTTGCACATATAAAAATATGTCCACATATTTCGTTAATTGAGTGCTTTATCTGTAGTATTACCCCATTGGATTTACTTCATGTTACTTTCAACTACAGAGAGTAATGTTTTCTAAAACGAAACTCATAACTTTCCAATATTTCCTGATTGCAACCAATATCATGAATTCATCCCGGTGAATGGAATGAACACTTGGCTTTTGCAGCTTTTTTGATATGATGACTTTTGTGAAAGCCAAGATCTTTAAACATTCTCAAGTAAATGAGATTCACACTCACTTCGCGACTTTCCCAAAAATCATGAAAATTTGGTTAATATTTTATTTCATAAACACTACCACTTAATCGAGAATCAAAATGCCAAGTCCTTAGGCTTGGTACCACCCTTCATCAATTCCATCATTAAATATGAGAATTTTGAATATTAAACAACTCACCTATTTGGCTCGTAGTGCTTCAAACCATCCGATGTTGTAATAATTTTGGGTTTAATTGCCATCAACACTTCCTGGCTGAATGGTATGCGGAAAAATTGTTTTGTAACTTGGGGAATTTCTCCCGGGGTATGTAAAACCAACTGGAAAAATCGGAAAAATTTTTTAAAACATACTACCATTATCAATTCCTTTACCACAAATAATTACCTTAAATCCCTGTGTCGTACCACGGCACAGATAATCGAAATCTTTTTCAACGCCGCTTAGCAAAAGATTCAATCCAGCCTTCGATCCAGAGCCAAGAACCCGATATGGATAAGTATCGGTATCGGCATTGGCATCATAGCCATCTTCAACATTCCAGTGGGTGGCAGTACGATTTTCCGAATGCAATACAACATCCTTGATTAAGCTTCAGATCAAAAAATACATGACATTTGTTTAAAAACCTAATTTACTTCAAATCATGTTTTATCATTACCCCTCATCCCGATAAGTTTCATAGGCGGTCAGCGTATTGAATGTATAACACGGCCCATCATCCGTAATGAATGTGTGAAATAATTCCGAACAATCTGTACCCACATTACGCCATTTGCATTTCATAAAGATCTCCTCAAACTGTGGCATTATGTCACGCAGTGTGGCAATCAGTAATCTGCTATCTGTGAAGTTGTCCTTCGTCGGGTACAGTATTAAATGTGAATCGCATACTTGAAAACTTGAGAACAGTTTGTTGAGGCTAAAATCCATTTAAATGTAAAAATTAGTAGAGAAATTGGAAATGTTGATTTTATTTGAATAATTTTTGAAAGACATTGAAAACAGAATTTTTTGCGAATATTTTTTTGTATACCTTCCACCATAGTATGGAGGGTATATTGAGTTTGTCATTCCGTTTGTAACACCTTGAAATATACATTTTAGACCCCACAAAGTATATATATTCTCGATCAGCATAAAATTCTATGTCGATCTAAAAATGTCCGTCCGTCTGTCCGGCTACGGAAATCTCTCTAGCTTCCGAATGAAATGAAGTACGTTGATAAAAACTTACTCAAATGTGTATCATGTACTTTTGGTATTGAAAATGGGCTATGTGGGTCCAAATCTTCATATAGCCCCCATATAACGGCACCTCCCGATATGCGGTATTTTAATGATTTTGGCGACATTATTTACCGGAACTCTTTCAAATTTAGTATTTGAAGTTCGTAATGGATATTACAGCCTGTGACCAAAAATTGTCCGTGCAGGCCCACGTCTTCGTATAGCCCCATGTAACGGTACCCCGATATATGGTATTTTGATGATTTTTGCGATATTATTTACCGGAATTATTTAACTTTTGTATTTGAAGTTCGTAATGAATATTACAGCCTGTGACCGAAAATTGTCCGTTCAGGTCCACATCTTCGTATAGCCCCATATAATGGTACCTCCCGATATGCGGTATTTTGATGAATTTAGTGACATTATTTACCGCAATTATTTCAAATTTTTATATTTAAAGTTCGTAATGGATACTACAGCCTATGACAAAAAATTGTCTTCGCAGGTCCACGTCTTCGTATAGCCCCCATATAACAGTACCTCCCGATATGCGGTATTTTTATGATTTTAGCGATATTATTTACCGGAACTATTTCAAATTTAGTATTTGAAGTTCGTAATAGATACTACAGCCTATGACAGAAAATTGTCCGTGCAGGTCCACGTTTTATAGCCCCACGGTACCTCCCCATATTCGGTATTTTGATGATTTTAGCTAAATTATAAACATATTTTTTTTTAAGTTTCGCATTTGAATATTGTAATAGCTTATGACAAAAGTTGCGTATGCAGGTCCACGTCGTCGTATAGACCCTAATATACTGCTACATTCGATATTTTTAAGATTTTAACAGAATTTTTAAAAGATTTTAATTTTTTGAAAATTTTTAAATATGTACCAAATGATGGAGGGCCTTTAGAGCATAAAACGTTGTTTTAAGATCGGGTTTTCTAAAAATACTTTTTCTTAAATTATCGTATTTATAATCCTGTGATTTGTTGATAAAACTTCTGCAGGGGCTAGCAGAAGAATAACCTTGGTTTTATACCCTCCGCGTGCATTATCATCCAAAAATCTGTTTTGGACCTAGGTATCTTTAGACGAAATACCTTTCAGGATATCTGGACTCGACGTAGCGGTGTCAGTCCGCAGGTTTATCTGTCTGTCTGACTGGTGCGCATAATAACTATCGAAGGGAGCATCCAATTCGATCTAAACTTGATATATCGTAAAATTATTATCAAACTTAGATCAAGTTCGGAGATGGACAATATCGGCCCAGTTGTTCTGCTACCTCAAATTTATATTGACCATAGCTCTTATAAAATGCAATAAAAGAACCTTCACATCTCAATATTTTTAGGAATACAAGATTATCTGTAAAGATGGAATATAAAGGATCACTCCTACTGCTATCTCCACCGCAAAGAGTCAAAACTTTGAGTAATCATATATATTCTATTTAAACATCGTATAATCAAATAAATCTAAAACACAAGTCCTGATAGGAAGATAGGATTCAGGTCCAAATATATTTAAATAAACAGTCAAAGGCTGAGGATTCAAGGATTATATAAAATTTTCAGATTTTAAAGGCTTGTTATACTGGTGGATCGGCCCATAATTGCCACCTGTAGAGTGATTAAAAATTAACATGAACAGACGGACATACATAGCCAAATCGACTCAGCTCGACGAGATAGGAAGATCCAATATTGGGAAACCAATATTTCGAGTTGTTACATAATTTTTGGCCCAATCAAACTTATTATACCTCCAACACATAGTGTTGTAGTGCATAAAAATGTAAATATTTCCACAGATATACCTACTCATCACTTGAAATATCCTCCATAGTTTTATTCGTCTTGTAATCTATGTACTTCCAATAGATGTCCGTAAAATTGAAATACGATTGCCGATTCTTGGTTTCTGTGCAAATGGTTATGGCCGGAAAGGGAATTTGCCAGACAGGTGTGGATTTTTCTGCAAAACTCACAATAACTGGATTATTGTTCCACTTGTACCAAATGTTCATGGTCAGTGAGGTACACAGGTAGATGGAAAATACGAAGACGAAAATCCAAAATACTCTGGAAAGAAAATTGGGAACAAAAACGAACACACATATGCATTATTCCTCCTCATATAGAGTAGGTTTCTTCATTCACCTCTCCCACACAGGCCGTTTCTGTTCTCCCAAATACTTGATGCCATGTATGGTGCTGTTGTCACAATATTCCGAGAATATGGCCCAGGCAGCCTGAGACGGCTTACCGTATTTGATTTGTTGCTTGTTATCCACATCGTCATCACTATCCACATCAACAGTCTCCTTAAAGGCCGTTATGGTCTTGGCCATCAACGCTGCACGCTGCCTAATTGGATAAGACAATACAAATCTTATTATCAAACGAAGTCTTTATTCTTCCTTTTTTTTAGCTTGGCGCAAAATCCCATTTGCCAGGAATATTGCACAAAGCCCTGAGAGATCGTACCATTGCAGTGTACTTTTCACCGATGGCTTGTGTTCCAGGCCATTTGCCGGCTCCATCTTGCCTGGCAAAGATGTTTAGACCGTTCTGAAATCCGATTTGCTCGTTTTTATATTTTTGTTGACTTTAACACCACCGCGTCTAATCTGCGACTATTGAAACAGTCTTCGAACGTGTTCACCTTTTATATAGCCTGACGTAGAAGCGTAACCGCTTCTGGTAACAATGACAATGACGTGGTCGTGGTTTGCCTTATCACATTTACTCTAAAACATTCATTCGCCTCGCATTACACCTTTGGGATTTTTCAATAATCTTTTGGTGGAGAAAATACTTACTCCTGGGAAATGCTGCCATAGCCTTAGGAGAAGGAAGATATGTGTGGGTACGTGCGTTGTGTGTGTTTTGTTCTTTGTTATCAGCTTTGGAAAGAGTTAATTTAATTTAAACCCAGCATGGGTTTCCAGGAACTTTCACGTGTATTAGAGGGGATAGAAAAATGTATTTTATAATTAGATCATAAATGTAAACATTTGTTAAACATTTTTTAATAAGAAAAGCTATTCTATTATAGCCTCACTGAATTCTCATAAACGCTTTCAAAATCAACAACTTCTTTTTTACTTTAGCATTTTCAGCGCAACTAACGGCGAATGCACATATACCTCGAGAAATAATCATCAAAATGTTTGTAAAATACTTCTTTAGAATCCACGAATTCAAAATAGTCCTCACAAACCCGAAGACATTTCGATCATTTACTTAAAGACTGTCAATTCCAAAAACACAGTTTTGAGAATAACACATTATTGACCGATACTTTTCAAATAAAAAGGGGTAACTTCTTGAGTTCTAAGGATATAATTACCAAAATTTGATAGAAACAAGTAAAAAAGTTGAAAGTTCGGCCGGGCCAAATTTTGGCAATTTTCAAAAAAATAAAATCCATCAAAAATTCTGTTAAAATCTTAAAAATACCGAATGTAGGGTATATACGACGACGTGGACCTGCAAAGGCAACTTTTGTCATAAGCTATTATAATATTAAAATGTTTAACTTGAAGAAAAAAATCTATTTATAATGTAGCTAAAGTAAATAAAATACCGAATATAGGCAGTAACCATACGTGGTCCTGCAAAGACAATATTCTGACGTAGTCTGTAGTATTCATTACGAACTTCAAATACCAAATTTGAAACAATTCCGGTAAAGAATGTCGCTAAAATCATCAAAATAAGGAATATCGGAGGGTACTCTTATATGGCGGCTGTACGAAGATGTGGACCTACATGACCGATTTTCTGTCTTAGGCTGTAGTATCCATTACGAACTCGAAATACCAAATTTGAAAAATGAAAAATGTAGCATAAATCATCAAAATATCGAATTACTGGTGGTACAGCTATATGGGGTCTATACCAAAAAGGGACCGACATGTTCTTCGCAAGGGTGTTTCCTACATACTGTCAACACAAAATGCCAATTTACATCAATGTTCGTATTAATCGACCGTGGCATCAGAATAAATGCCGAATACTATCGCGAAAATATTCCGGAGGATGTATTAAAGCCTTGGGCACGCAAACATTTTGGCCGCAGACCTTGGACATTCCAACAGGACACAGGACCATGGCACTCAGCACGTGCCACCCAAGAATGGTTACAAAACGAGCTCCCTCGCTTCATTTCCAGCGCACAATGGCTACCAAAATTTCTGGATACCAATCCGTTGGACTATACTCTCTGGGGTATTTTGGAAAGCAAGGTTGGCACTAAAAAATACCAAAGTGTCGACCGCCTCAAGCAAGCGCTTCGCCGGGAATGGGCAGAGCAACATTTGAAGGCCATAATTCATGCCAAAGTTGAACAAATCTAAACTTATTCTAAAATTTGATGCTATTTCCGACATTTTTTTCGCTCGATAAATTTAAAAAAATATATAAAAAATATGGCGTTTTATCTCACCCTATATGCCCATACTCAAATATCGGTTTTAAAACCAAAAGTTCTACGGACCTAAAATACTTTCGAGTAAAATTGCATTGTTTCGTTCGAAAGCAAAGCGATTTACACAGCCAGAAGGATGGACATGGCTAAATCGATATAGAATCTTATATTTTGAGGAGTAACAAGGAACGGACATACTGCATCTTTCTTTATCATCATTTGTCTTTTTTCAAAACGTTGAATGTTTGGGGGTACCAGGTGCAGACATATCCCATATTTACATAAATCTGCGGTTGATAGAAATATTGAGGTACACCAAGTCTGAAAAACATCGCTAACTTATTTCGCATGTTATGAGAGTCATAATTATTCAAAATTTCAACACTTTGAAGGGGGTACCAGAAGGAATGGTTCAATAACATCCATATTCACACTTGATGTAACGAAGGTAAAAGAATTGCGATATGCGAAGTTAGAAGAAACACCGAAAAATTACTTAACATTTTATGAGACTTGTTATTATTTAAAATTGTTACTCCTTGTGGTGGAGGCATGGCAAGAAGTGTTTCGAAAATTCCATATTCACAGCAGATCTCGGGTTTATAGAAATATTGAGATAGACTTGGTTCAACAAAAATGTCTGACTTGCTTGCATGTTATAAGGGTTAAACATATTTAAAATCTTGACCCTCTTTAATGGAGTTACCAGAAGGAATGGTCATTTATATCCCATCTGTCCACCAGATCATTTGTTTGTGAATGCATTTCAATGAGCGAGGTTCAAAAAAATTTGAATTTTATTACGCATTTTATGGGGAGGGACCATAAAGATTTATCCGCTATATTCTATCTTCCCACCAGATCTTATGTTGACAAAAATATTGAGATGTGGGAAATTCAAAGACTTTTATTCCACATTTTATAAGAGACTAGTTGAACCCGGTGCTTTTTGCTATCCCTTTTGATTCTATATGCATTCGAAATTTTATATATGAATATTTGTTGGTTTTAAAAAAAGAAACAAATTCAAAAATTAAAAAAACATAATCATTGTAATACTTTAATGCCAACAAACATTTGACAAAATTTACTTTTACACCAAATACCGTCACACTTTCCAAATGTCATTGAAATTGGAGGTACATACCAGGTTTGGTGCATCAAATGAGTAAAATCGACCGAGAATAATAAGGGAGCTATCTATATCCAAATCTTAACCGATTTCTAATTAATTTGTCAAATTTATTATTGTAACCAAATACCGCCCCACATTCTGAATTTCATTGGAATCGGACATACATATCGTGTTTGGTGCATAACATACATGAAATCGACCAAAATATATATGGGAGCTATATCCAAATCTGAACCGATTTGAATATAATTTGACAAATTATTTTTGTACCAAATTTAGTCAATTATACCGAATTTCATTTGTATCGAACATGCGTATCATGTTTGGTGCATCAAATATGTGAAATCGGCCGAAAATATGTATGGGAGCTATATCCAAATCTGAACCGATTTTAATATAATTTGACATATTTATTTTCTGATTTTTTTTCGAGTCAATAAATTACACACAAACAAACATACAAACACTTTCCTCTTTCACATTTTATAAGAGATAAAATTCGCACCAAACAGTGATTCGTGTTAGGTGCATTGACTTTTTAATGTATGCGTGTGAGTTTTCTTTGGCAGGTCTTTTCTTCTTCCACATATTCTGAAACTTGAGCTAAGAGTTAGTATTCCAAAAAAATATACACTATTTATACCCTACAACACTATGTGTTGGGGGTATTATAAGTTTGATTGGGCCAAAAATTATGTAACACCTCGAAATATTGGTTTTCCACAGAAGGTCGTAATTATCGCCGGTCCTCACGCACATTTGAATGGGGGTTACCGGACATTGCAAAAGCCAAGCAGTTTTGGATGGCCATCCAAAAATATTCAATATGCGAAATAGTTTGCCAACTTTTGTAGACAAAATACGAAAATATCCATTGCAGTAACTCTTTGGAGAATTCACAAATACAGGAAAGACGCACTTCTGACTATTTCGTTAACGCTGATTTCGTTGAAGAATATAGTCAAATGTCTGTATCTCACATAGATGCGTTTCAGTCAAAAACCAATAATAAATGTTAATATTTTGCCACTTCTGAAAGATTATAGGTCTTTGGGAAATAATGGTTCCAGATCTAGGAAGACCATTTAAGTGCAACATCTACCAATAAATTGGAAATGAGCAAATTAGTTTAAGTTGCTATTATTCGAAAATTAGAGAACGAAACCTGATGGTTTTCTTTTATTATTTGTCACAATATCTTGTGGAATTCTTTCGAGTATCTCGCCTATATAAACTGTATCGTTTATTATAGTGTTGTAGGGTATTCAATGGTCGGCCACGCTCGACTGTAGCCTTTGCTTACTTGTTGAAAATAACTTAAAAAATAGAAAGTAAGGTTGGGTCAAACTTCTAATATCCTCCACCATTAGGGAAACAACATTTTTAGATAAAAGTATCTGGATTCAAATATATTCCACTTTAAACTTCAATACCAAAAAAAAAAAAGGGACTAAAATCATAAAAATATCAATTATCGGGAGGTACCGTTATACAGGCGCTATAACAAAACGTGCACCTATGTAGATAATGCTTAGGAATAGAAGGTAGAATACATTATAAAATCTCAATTCCAAATTTGAGCAATTGCGTGGGAAAATAGGGCTAAAGTCATCGCAATACCGATGGGTCAAACTTCTAATATCCTCCACCATTAGGGAAACAACATTTTTAGATAAAAGTATCTGGATTCAAATATATTCCACTTTAAACTTCAATACCAAAAAAAAAAAGGGACTAAAATCATAAAAATATCAATTATCGGGAGTTACCGTTATATGGGAGCTATAGGGAAACTTGGACCGATATTTTCATTTTCAATACCAACCATCCCAGACATAATACAAACTATTGTCCTAAATTTCAAAGCTCCACAGCAAATAATGTGGACTGTATCGTGATTTCAAGAAACAGACATCGGTCACAAAATTAAATATGTATTGGTTACTTACTTACTTTCCACTGTTAAAGCAATGGGTTAGTTCTGTTCTGTAACAAGTTCAGTGTCTACATATACATTATAATTGCTTGAAAGCGAAAAATTTCCTGCATGAATATGCCTA